TTGGCATCTAAGTAGCTCCAGCAATCCAGAATGCTAGCCAATATTCCTCCATCGCTGAAAAAACAATTTAGCTCCCAATACTATACACTTAGTCTATTTAATCTTCCTCTTTAATACATTAAATTTCTTTGTATTTGTTTAAATTCTAGGCAGCAAGAAAGAAAAATATTGTTATCCTCTTACTGAAAGCCTCAGATACTTAGCACTGTTCAATACTTGGCAAGATAAATTACATAGCTGCTCTAGAACAATCATGCCTTTTAGAAAAAAATAATGGGTATGTCTGTTGTCTTTTTCGTTAACATGAAAGGGGAGCCAAGCAAAACATGAAGTGGCAAAATACTGAGGAATGACAGAAGACTTGCCCATGTCACAATGCAATTGTAAGATTATCCCATTTCCTCTCATTTCTGAGTATTGGACATGCTTATTTTTTTGAGAAAGATGGGCAGAAGACCAGAGTAAAGAGGTTTGGATCCTGCTGGCCTGAAATCAAGGAAACAATACCTAACTTATTTTTCACCCAGGTATTGTTTGAATTTGCTGTGCTGGTGACTCGGAAGCAATTTGGAAAGGCTAAGATACTTGTCACTGGCCATCACAACAGTTAACCTTCATGACCACATGTATACAAGTGTGCTACCATGCCACTTGCCATCTGGCCACTTAGAACACCATGGCTTCTAAACGGTACCCTCGTTTGGAACCAGACTCCAGTATTGCTGCACAGGTTTCCAGAGGTGCTCACAAAAGTGATGATCAGGAGTGCCAGAACGTGGAACTTTCCACATCAGCAGCATCATGCATGGTGAGGTGAAGACTTCATTCATACAGATCAAATGGGGATACATCCCTCATAGCTGAAATTGCGCTGTGGACCAGATTATCCCATTAACGCTCCCATGTGGGGAAAAAAGTACTGTTTTTTTCCTTCAATAAAAGAACAAAGCCCATTGATTTTTCTGTTTATAGAGAGGATGAAAACAACTCAGGCAAAGTCCTCATTCTCTTGTACTTGTTTTAAATACAGTATGTTTTTGTTTTTTTTTTAATTGCTGAAGCAATTGCATCTCAAGCTATGGAGCTGGAGTGTTCTAACTCCCACCGGTGTCCGTGTACTGACCTCAGTGGAGGTTTCAGAGTTAGAGATTTCTTTTCTGAAGGAAGATGGCTGGCATCTGTCAAAACCGGCCTTCTAAGCGGAAGGGAGGGAGATTGCAAAGCTTTGATACATTCTGATTTACACTATTATTCCTAGCTACCAAAATATTTAAAGAACAAAAAGTATGATTTCAGTTCATGACCACAGAGCCATTGTAGCACACTGACTGATTGCAACTGCATTTTACAGACCCTGAAGCAACTACTCAGTACAAATTTTAGGTAAGAAATTGCTGAAGAGTTCTCATGGTTACTGTGCAAAAGACCAAACAAAGCAGAAGATGATTCTGTAAAATGCAGGCTCTCTACATAAACCCACCAGATGTACAGCTCCAGCTGAGCACTTGCCTTCTAGGAGCACACTCATTGTTAAAAGACTGTCAAAAATTCTTGTGATATTAGAACATTAGAGACTGTAGGATTGATCCCTGGCAGTGGGCAACAGCAGGTCTTTCATGACCATGTGAAGGATCCTATATTTCTGTGGAAAAAAATTCACCACCATTTGCCAAGAGTTACTGTGAGACTGGGGGACCATATTGCAAAACATTCTGCTACTGAAAGAGTTGTGTAGCTCAGTACATTTCACTATTACTTATGCTAAAATTTAATTTAGATTAATTCCTAATTAATTTGGGGAGCTTGATCCCTTTGCAAATGGTGGCACAGACACTTCATAGGTGTTCACTGCAGGATTGAAGTACTTTTTGGCTTAGTCTGCATGTAGCTCGCAGCCTCCTGGATTTATCTGGACTATTTGTTAAATTTATGGAAAAGTACACCTGCTAAATTCATTTTTTAAAAAATCGTCATAGAAGACTACTGCTCAATAAACAGGAATGCCAGAACCTTCAGTGCTAACAGCCCCCGCTGAAGCAGCTTACTTGAACAGGAGGAATTAACTTTAGGGCAATTGTCTCCTGAACATCAATAGACAGGAGCACTGACTGAGGAGACTTTCTTTTTTGTGTGCTGGTGGTTTGTGAAAAGAAATCTTTGGAAGCAGAAGACAGCAAAGAATAAAACCAAACACCTTGGTCATTAATGGATGAATCTCAATTTCAATTATTAAAGATAATTCTAGCACAGAAATAGGGGATGTTCTGGAGGGGAGGGGTTATAGGCCTTTTTCCCCTCAAATCATCTGAGGAACTTCATTTTGCAAAGACAGCAATGCTGAGAGTGTTTAGCCTCCAGATTAGGCTCCGAGTTACAGCAACATTAATGTGATTATGGTCATCATGTCTGATATTTGCAGTATGCTACCTGTAGCAGCTGTAAGTACATGAAAAATACTTGTCAAATGAGCGGCCTAGGGGAAAGCGTTTGGGTTGCACTGGCAACCATAAGAGGAGGGAGCAGCATTCCAGTGCACATGGACAAAATAGTTACAAACATGAAAGTCCAAGGAGTAAAAACATATTAAACTACATGGGCTAAATATTTGCGAGCAACTGTACCATTCAAAATGCTGTACAAAGTTAAAGTATGCAGTACTCTGCAGTTTAATATGTATTTCATAGTCCATAAAATAATATTCATTTTCCATTGAGTTTTAAATCAAATTATGAAACACCACTCCTTTCCCATTAGTATTTTGGTGAAGAATTTTGGAACAGTCAACTGCGCTATTTAGTTCCATCTGTTGAAGCTTCTTTCCTTGCCACTCCATCTGATCAAGCTCACTAGTACTTCTCCCTTGCCAACACACATTTAGTCAGTCAGTAAACCTCACTGCCACCCTGCATCTGTCCACACTGAAGAAGTGAAGAAATGGGGTGTTGTTTATTGAGGCAGCAGAGACATGGAAACAGCCCTTAAATATTTAGAAGTTTGTGACAAAGAGTGAAAACTCTTCTCCATGTTCATGGAACACAAAAAGAAGCAGGTATGAATTGCAGTAAAGGAGACTTAGATTAAATAATGAAAAAAAAAATATCTTTCAAATAGTAAAGATAATTAGCACTGGAATACCTTTCCTGTATCAGTCATTACCATAGATGGAGAAAACCTCCTGCCTTTTCCAGCCCTGTATCCAGTGACAAATCCTTGACATCCCTTTCAGTCTTTTATCTCCTCACACAACTCCAGTCAGCTCTTCACCATTATCTCACAAGATAACGAAGTTTGATTTTTTCATTTAACAAATGGTGTAGGGTTACTAAATCTTTTGGTATAAGAAATTGCTTGTCTAAAAGGCACCAGTGATCCATAAAGTCTGACAGCCTGTCTACAAGATCTGCCAGCATCAGTTTGGGGAGAAGAAACTTTTCCTAAGGGACCTGAAGAATAATCTGTCTCCATATGTCCTCCTGGTCTCCAGTCACTATTTAGCAGAAATCATGTACTTCACAAAACTGTTTTAAAAGTAAATCAGAACTGAGGGTTTTCTTGTTGTAGTTCTGAATCTTGCCATATTCTTCATCTGCATGCATTAATCCTAATGGCTAATTTTAAATTAGGTTGGAAAAATATTTCGTTTTATCTTGAGCATTGAATTGTATCAAGTATTCTTCTTTTGGACATAAAGACTGAACAGGACTCTCATATATTCCATTTTTGTGCATGAACAGTCTTTCAGGAAAGCTCCAATTGTTTTGGCGATTACACACACTGTTTATCTATGTATTCTGCCATTAAATAGGATGGTATGTAGGTTCTACTGTAAATTCCTGTAGAGGAATAGCAGAATAAGCATTCATGCCATACTCACAATGGGAGATAAGTATCTGATCTGGAATTTCAGTACTGTGGTGGTTAAAACAGTGAGAGAAAAACAACATTGTTTTGCACTTAGAAACCTGTTTCTAATCAGCTAAGCTACTCCTATGGGGTCAAATAAAAATGATTAGCTTATTAAAAGCATAGCTTTGCTATTTAATAAGCAAAAATGATTGAAAATTCTGTTCCAGATCCTGATAATTTTAGTGTTTCTAGTTAAGCCTGCAAAATTGCATTCATTATTAGTGTCTAGATTCATTAACAATTCAATTTATAGATATTAATGCTTATAATGCATGCTTCGCTTGCCAAAACTTGAAGAGAAATTGTTTCAATTAGCTTTCATGGATCATGAATCCTACCGGCTGGGTATTTTTAGACAAAAGATACAAACACATCCCCAAGCAATGCTAATGCACAGCTGGGATTCCTATGTAAGGTCTGTTAACAGTTGAAAAACAGTAAATGAGTTTTACACAGAATGGTTAGACAGGAACAGTACCAATAAAATATTTGCAGGTCACACTACTCCCCTCAAAAAAAGTCAAGATTCCCTGGCTTTTGTGCTGTGTTTTGCAAAAGCCAAACCAGGAAGATATAAACTAGTGCCCAGGTTAAAAAATATTTTCCAGCATGTGACTAAGCACATTATATGTATGTATAGGCCCATGGCAAATTGTCCCATTCTCATTTTCAAACTATTTAATTACAATCAGTAAAGATGCATGGATGTAACCAAGGACATAATTTTGCTCAATGTTTCCTCTTCTTTCCTTAAATTAGTTACAGTCAGGGAGAGGAACCCAAAAATCTACACAAATGATTTTGCACTACACATGCAGAAGAAAAGAACCCCAGGACCACAGAGCAGACCAGTCGCTGAGCTGATGACATGATGGGCTCATGCATCATGGCTAGCACCATCAGCAGGTACGTAAGGTCTGGGAGCAGCAAAACCTGCAGTCTCACAGCCACACCACATCAGACTCTGAGCTTTTACATGATTGCATGTGCTTTGCATGAACCAAAGAAAGCATGCAGCCTCAGGACAGACCAGCGATTCTATCTGAGCACTCAAAGGAAAAGCAACAAGAATCACTTAGGTCCACATGCTGGACTTCATTAATACAACTGAGTTAGCCTTTATTATTGCCAGTAATTCCCTACCCTCTCTTCTTGTCTTCTGAGCATTGTAAACACCAGTTGGAAAGTGGAAAGATTTTAATGAAGCTACTACACAGAAGGCATCACAAGGTACAACAGATATCTCTGAAGTCAGTGCAAGTCACCCCAGAGAGCTAACCTGCTGTTCCTGCTTCCTGAATACAGGGTTCTGTAGCACAAGCACTCCAGTGGAGCCAAAGCCCACAGTCCATAACTGCTACACAGCACCACAGCTGCTCTCTGATCCAGCACATCTGTCTCTGATCAGACCCTCTTCCAGTATTTATAGGAATTAACTCCTCCATGATTCCATGGAACTCAGAACTCAAATACAGTGAAAAGATGCTGGCTTAGTTTTGATTTTCTGGTTTGGTAGTTCACTGCCATTTTTTTGTGAGCGGCACCCCTTTAAAAACAGGGCAGGAATTTCCAGTCTGGTCTTTAAACAGTGCAGGGAACATAAAATAAGGAAAAGAGGTCTTCAACACATGAACAGCATATCTAAGGAACAGTCTGCTTTCAACTCATGCCCGTATTATTTGTCTAGAAGGCAGTTACTACATTCTCTCTGAAACAGACCTAAGGAAGGTGTTTTCAGGCACAGAAAACATTCAAAGGAAATCAGTGTTTCTGCAAACAGATTACCTTGTGGCTCTCCTCTCTGAGAATAAGGCAAACTAAATTCCAGGAATATTGAAGATACTCAGTGTTTTACCCAAATAGCTTAACCAACCATTCCTCCATAAAGCTTTTTTTTGTTTCAAAAGTGCCTAGACTATACAGATCAATCAAGTTATTTCTTTTGAGTTGGCTTATTTTTGGAAAGTAGCACTCTGGAGAATACCACCCTAATGGCCGACCGCATTGGTGTCTTAAGCAGGCATTTCACTGCTAGGCTTGAGCAGATCTATCTCATGTTTATTTGTAGGGCAGAAAGTCAGGCCCACACTAAATTCTTTGCCAGTGATGTGAGAGCGTGTGCTCAGCTGGAATTCCTCTGCAGAGAAAAGCAATTAAGAGAAAGATTTAGAGGACTAACATCAGCACTGAATGTAGCTGGAGCCCGGTCTACAGACCAGCAGCGTGAGCAGCTGCCCCACTGCCGCTCAAGGCAGCTCTGGGGCTAGCACTCTCAGATGTATGGCGTTCTAATTAAGCACTGTTGTGGAGTTAGGGCTTAAGTCAGGGCAACCTTGTCATAACTCGAGACGATCCGTCTTCCACAGTTTAACTTCACCCTGAATTTGTCAGTGCATTAGTAGATGATGGACCGCATTTCACTCCTAGTCTGAACCACATTGCTTCTTAAGCATTGCAAAGCACATAAAGCTGCTGGGGAAGGTGGGGGTGCAAATCAAGATCTCAAAAAATCTTCAAACGGCTCAAAATTTTCCAACCTTTATTCCTTAACTCAGGTATTTACTTTGTTCGATTCAGATTAGGGCCAAAAACCTGGGAAGAGTGGTACCAAGGAACAGATTTGTGCTTCATGCAGGGAGTATTTTGGCAAAGCAGATGGTATTAAGAAGCCCCCCCATGGCTTCTTGCACTTACACTCTTTTAATTTCAGGCCTCTAAATTCATACAGAAAAGTAATCTCAACAGTTACTTCTAACAACCCGTTGTGTGTCATCACCTGCACCAAGCAAGAAGGAACATAAGCTTATAGGCCTTAACCTGCACTATCCAAATTCGTTAATTCAAGATTATATCTTGAACAGTACGTAAAACGAGTCCACTAATTTAATAAGCAAAACGCCTCAAAACTATATCAGAAATGAAATGACAATGCTAGCCTTACTGCCAGCAGCTGTGGTCAGCAATAAAATCATTAGCAATACCACATTACTGTTCAAGGCCGTAACTCATTTGGTTTAGAAAGCCCACAGAGGACTGACTTGCTTTGCCATGAAGAAGAGAGTGCAAACAGATTCCAGTTACGACATGATCTGTTTTATGCTTTCCCCACTTCCTACAAACATGCTATGAGACATTTTCCACCAGTCCCTAAACAGTCTGGTTATTCCTTTGACTACAGAGAATCAATGAACAGCCCAGGTTGGAAGGGACCTCAGGAGATTGTTTGCTCCAACCTCTCTCATGGGAATAGGAACCTAGAGGAGGAGATTCCCTAGCACCCTGTGCAGCTGCATCTTGAAAACTCCAGTGATGGGGATTGTACTGCATCCCTGGGGAGGTTGTTCCAGTGATTGAGTGCTCTCACAGTAAAAAATATATTTCTTATATCAAGATAAAACCTCTCTCAGTGCAACTTGTATCTGCTGCCCCTTGTGCTCTCCATGTGAAGAGACAGACTCTCTCCTCTGCTGCTACCCTTTAAGTACCAGAAAACTGTGATGAGGCCCCCCGAGCCTTCTCTTTGCCAGAGAGGAAAGACCTAACTCCTTCCTCAGAGGAACCTCACAGGTTGTTCAGCACTTTGAACATCATTGTGGCCTCTCTGGTCTGCCTGCATCTTGAACTGTGGGGACCAGAACGGGACACAGTACTCCAGACATTGCACAGAAATTTCTCCTAAATCCTCTAAGCAGAGGATTTCTACTAGGAAAAAAAAAAAAAAAAAGAAGAAGAAGAAGAGCAATTTCATTGAAGGGACACACTGCATTGCTCATTATATCATTACTCCACTCATCCTAAAGCGAACCATTTGGTCACTACATTACAAGCTTAAGCAGACTGTAAGAAAACCAGAACTTGTAGTTCTTGTGCAATTCAAAAAACCCTGGAAATCTTCACAGTAGAATTGTTTAGAAATTTGTTTAGTTTATCTGTTTGTATTTGCTTTTCACCCCACTTACAAGAAAGTTTACAACACCAATGTACAATACTACTACATCTGCAGCCCAGAATTATTCAGACCTTTAACTCATTTCAGATTGGTGACCCTATTTTCCATGTATGCCTCTTGACAGGCTGTAGTCTAGATGGACCTTCCAATCCAGTATTCCCACACTAAGCCCGAAACTGGGTGATATGTACATGCCAAACCCAGTTACACTGCAGACTCGCTAATGCTAGTGACATTTCTACTCCTCACCTGTGTGGAGATACACTGGGAGCAATAGTCCTGCTCAGTGCTAGTCTTGATTTTCCTAAATAAAATTGGTTCTGATTTTAAACAAAATTCATAATTTCTCTATTCTTTATTAATATATTAAGAAAGTTTTAAACTGTATTCTTAAAGATTTTAAACTGTATTCTTAAAGATTAGTAACAGACGTGGGAGAACATGGTACACCTGTAACATGCACTTTGGAAAAATAAACTATGGCAAGTAGCTCCTTCAGAGAAGGTTTATGTAGGAACAGTGCAGAGAATGACAAGCTGCTTTTCACTGTCAAAGACTGAATCTCAGTGATGGTCAGTTTTCCAACTGGTAGGTTAGTTAGTTGGAAGATCCTGTCAGCAAAGTGCTTTTAGTTATAATATCTTGGAGAGTAATTCAGGGAGAGCATTTGTCTTTTTGTTAGGGACTTGTTATGCTCGTGTTTTTGATTACATCCCTGACACAAAGTTTGCTTCCTTTGGTAGGCAGTGTAATAATAGAGTTAGTTTCCTAACAAAGGCAGCAAATAGGTAAGTTCTTCAATAATCCTGGTTTAACACTTGTACCAGTACCTGAATAAATACACTCAGAAAGGAAGAGGACTCTGTACCATGGGATTATATTTAGGTTCAGCACTTTTAACAGATTTCCAGGTTTTGCAAGCATACAGCCAGATCAATGCTGAAAACAGAAAGAACAGCATGGACAAGTGAGCCAGATTTTTATCTTTTGTTAATTAAAAAAAAAAAAAAAAATCAGCCCTTTCCCCGAATAAACCTAGACAAGACTGCCAACAACAAAGGTGTGTACAAACATTCCCATGAATACAAAAATCATGCATAGAGTATTTGCTGGAGTCCTGTGTGAAGAAAACCAGAATGTGTCAAATTCAACTCTTAAATTATTGGGCTGTCATGTTCTGAATTTGCCTCAGCTTCCAGATGTTCTTCAGATGGCCTCAAGATGTTGGGCAATCTGCAGATCATTCCAATTGCCTAGCCCTGAATAAGCAACTGAACCGGGGTCTGCATATGAAAGCAACTATACAATTTCACTTGTCTCATTTTGAGCAGATGGGAAACCAGCACACATGCCATAGCTGTTAAGTACCCAGAAGCAGAATAAAAGCTAACAAAAAAAAATAAATTAAGAACTTATGTTATAAGCAGTTTGTCCTGCTCCCTTTGAGATCCTGGTATAAGCTTCTTCCACTCTACCAGCATTAGTCCAGGTTTAGTCCAGTTCTCATGCAACCTTACACTGTCACCAACACTTCCATTTCACCAGCCAGCTCACAACAGCAGTAAGACAAAGCTGAATACTATTAACATATAAAACACACTGAGAGATGCAGTCATGAAAAGGAGATACTGCACAAAAGGGGACCCAGAGCACATGACTAAGTGCCTGAAATGACTCAGTTTAATGGGCTGTCCCTCCATGACTTATTCCATCTACTGCAAGTACTGGAGATACAACAAAAGTTTGTCTTTGACAAGTTTTTGACTTTCCCTCCCCCATCACTTGGAGGTGATCAGCTGGAGCTGACAGTGCATCCACTCTACTGGCTGAGACTGACAGATTCTGCCTGTGAATACACATACAGTTCATCCTGTTGACTAGAGAAGATAAAATTAGAATCTTCCAGTATCTGCAAGACATCAACAGATTCAAATGTTGTGGCACTTGAAGGGAGTGAGTGACCAGACCTGGAAGGTGTTCCTGTGATGCCTACCCTGTGCAGAAAGGATGCCAATCTGCGTTCTTCAGTCTTGCATATATTAGTGTCAAATTTTAGACTGATTTCTACAGCTTGACATGAGACACACTGCAAGCCGTAAGTCCCTTTTACTTCAGAATGCAAGTTTCTCCTTGGGGTTTCTACAGGTTTATTTATATTTTTTATCTCCAGAAAGATATCAGTGTCCTGATTTTGTCACTGCTATTTGTACTCATCTCTGTCACAAGAGAGGGGAATGGTTAAAATACAGATTTATATAGAGTCAAGAAGGTCAGATTTCCAATTACAGAAATAGAAACAAGATTAAAAGTAATTAAGAACTACATATATTATGTTTAAACCAAATAGTTTCTCTTCAGTATACCTCACCTAGAACATACTTTGCAGCATCAACAGTTGTGAACCAAGTCCACAGGTTTTCCCTGGGACCTCTTCAGACCACAAGTGGTTGGAGCTGGCTGGGAGGAGTGACAAACCCTGCCCTGACCACCCCAGGCTGCTCCACACATCTCATCTTCCTTCAGAAAACCCTATTTTCTCATGCACTTCCTCTTTTTACTTTCTCCGTTTGCTTTCTTAATCCAGTAAGAAAGAAACTTCCGTGATTTACCTCTCCTTGCACTTTTTTTTTAAATTATATTTTATTTTCACCTAATATGAATAGTAAATGTGTTATATTGAAGACATCAGTGCAATGACTTGTCTTTAGTATTTAGAATGTTTCTTGGTATTGACTTTACGCTCCCAGTTCACTTTAAAGCAAAACATCTATTATCGTATTGCAGCTTTAATCACCTTTTCCTTCCATGGATGCCCAGGACATTGTTTAAAAAAACTTCTTAGACTTGCAATATTTCACAACTATTCAGTATTTTTCTAATTCTCATTTCTTAGGTTTTAGATATACCAATAGCACAGGTAACAGAGTTGGTACCAAAAAAATTATGCTTATAAATTTTCCATTATCACCACCACCTTTGTCAGTTCTAGGTGATTCTGGCATCAAAACATCACATTCCAGCTGGGGTAGAAAAACACGGACTTCCTGCAGCTGATGATACTCACTGGTTGTTGCATCTCAAATAGCCTTTGTGTCCTACACTGGCACACCTTAAATATCCTCCACATCTTTCACAAGCACTTCAGAGAGTGCTATTTTGGCAAAATTAGCCTCAGCCTGTATCAGAAGCCAGATAAAAAATGCAGCAAGCAGAAGACTTGCTTAAATACCCACATCTGTAGACTCTTAGGCCATATCCATGCATGTCACAATCCTTTCTTGCAGTTGCTAGATCACACTGCTTTGTTCACCACAGAGAAAACAAGTGAGTTTCAGTTCCAGACATTCTTCAGTTTTATAACAGCCATTTAAAACAGAAGAGTCTTTTACATTCACTTCATTTTATCTCACTGTGGCAGCTTTGCAGAGAAGATGAAGTATGTACTTTTACATGTGGTTATAGCTACAAGCTCAGTGAGAAAAGGCCTAGGTTAAAATTCTATTCTTGATCCTTAACGGGCTAAACACAGCTGGAATGGGGGGAGACTTGCCAACCTTTAAATTTCTGATTTTCACCTGAAAAAATGAGCAGCAGCCCACATTAAGAACTCAGTAAGGCTGCAAAATGAAATACTAGAAGTTCAGGAACACTTCAAGGTTCCCTACCCTACTCATTTTCTTTGGTCATATACATGGCAAGACTTTTATCTAATTCAGCTTATGGCAGTAGACCACAGAGCAATGGGCTAGAAACCTCAAAAACCACATGTCACCTCTGCTCTGTCACAACCCCCTTGCAAAAAATCATGGCTGAAGCCATACCAGAATGTGTACAAAGGAGTGAATAAAGACTTTGCCAATCAACTCAGTTTTGTGCTATGAAATTATCTACTGCTTGAGTAAAACTGCAAATGAGTTTTCAGTTTCAACTCAGACAGTAAAAACTGAAAACTGAAAAAACAAAACAAACCCAAACCAACTGCTTTTTGACAACTGAAATGAGCTTGGTTGTTAAATAATGTTTAAACACAAATGCTTCAAAAGCAAGTCAAATTCTTGTGTTCAGAGATAGAGTATGGGCATTGATTTCCTTAAGTTCCTGTATTTCCAGCTTTTTTTCCCCCTCCCAACATTTAAAGATTTAAGAAAATTATTTTTGGCAAAGGGCACTTTTCACCAAGAATTGTTTAAAAGCTTTTCTTGAACAGTTTCCTTGTGTTTTCTAGATTCAACAATTGGTTTTACAGCCTTCAGAATTTTGCAGCTCTAATTCTATGGTTACATGTTCCTCCCCCCATGAAACTCCTCGCATTTGACAGTGCTGAACACAGCTGACAATTTTTGCATTTTATTTTTTGCAAGAACAGGCAGTGGTTGGAATAAGGAGGTTTACATGGTGAGAGGGTGATGGAAAGGAAACAGCTGAGACAATGAGGCACAGAGACAGTGAAGCTGTAGAAGACAGGCAGATGTTAACAGGCATAAGCACCCCCTTTGTTTTCACTGCTGCCAGAGAGCTTGCCCATTTCCTCCCCAGATGCTTTAGCTTTCCATTGTGCTACCCCTTATGCCAAAGCTCCCTCAAACTGATATTCAGACTATGTCACTTTCCCTTTTCAAGGATCTTCAAGGCTCCCTACTACAATGATGATGACAGGAATAAGCTGAAAGGCAACTGGAGAAAATTGCTATTTGGTACATTTGGACAGAGTAACAACAGCAACACACATAGAAATTAGCAAATACTCTAATTCAAGATGTCAGATATTTGGCAAGACGCTTAGCCTTAGTTTACAGAAAAGGCTGTACACCAGGACTGCAAGCCACAAAGGTCACACAGAAGATCCAGATTTACAGTCTGCTGACCCATGCTCTGCCCAAGTCATCATCTCCTGGCATTCCATATCAGGTACAAGGTGGTAAACTGGACCAACCTTGCCATAAAGCTGCACACAGTTCAGACATTTGGCTTCAAGCCACCAGGAGATGACAAATTGTCTTCCTCTGTTTTTTGAGAAAGTTTCAACAGCCTCTCCCCACCTCCAACCAAAACCAGTCAAAAATGCTCTCACCAGATGGTAGCAGTGTAAACAGTCTAAAAAGAAAGAAGGTTTACCCCTGCTTGGGCTAATGGAAAACAGGGTCCCAGAACACAAGACAAAACATAGGTGATGAAAATAAATGGGAAAAGAAGAAGGATGATTCTGGAAAAGGTCAAGAGAGTAACAGATAAGCTGTTATGAAAAGGAAGTTTTTGTACGGGTGAGCTACTTGTAACTTCCTCTGTAAGACCCAGGTTTCTCCTTCCCTCAAGAGACAATTCCTGTGCTAAGCTCCGCAGGTCCCATCTCCTTACTGTTATTTTGTGCATTTTGAGAAATAAAACAGAGATGAATTCTCCAAATATCCCCACTGGAAAGGGTCATTTTCGGAATTCCTGAGCAGCCAAATATTAAGCCTACTCTTCAATACTTTGGTTAAAAAAAAAAATAAAAAATTAGATGATTTGGAAAACTTCCATGTAAGAAAAGCTTTGATATTCACATAATCAGAAATCCCAAGTTTTACCTTGTCACAATGCCTGGAAATTTAGTTATTTGTGTGCAGGAATGTTTGTGTGCAGGAACAACTGCCTGGTATAAAAAAAGCCACCCTTTGCCCTTCTTGTCTCACATACCCAGACCCGTGTTCAAGAGGCAGGCTCCTTGCTGGTATTTGAGCTTAGCAAAAGGAAGCCACTTCCTCATTAAGACATACCCAACTATGGTAATAACATGGAGAGCCAAAAGTAGTAACAGATTTATTATTACCACTGTGTGGAAATAAAATGTTTTTTTTTTTTCCTCTGTTACTCAATCCAGTTAATTATCCATGCAAAGTAAAGTTATTCCTGGCAGCCACAGAGGCAAAACTAACTTCAGTAATGCTGGGGGTGGAATGGTTGTTATGCAGGAGAAGAAACTAAATAGTTCAGTAAATTAGCCCAAATAGATACACACTGGGATTGGCCTTTACAGATTCAAAATATCAGATTCAATGCTTTTAGGCTTATCATACTTTTTATTTAATAGAGAAATGTCTGATCTGGGACTGCATCATATCCCAAAGACTCTACAAAGAGGTAATTTTTTCAGAGTGCCCTGAGGGTAACAGGAAAAATTACAGAAAGCTTCAAACCATTCAGCTCCCACAAGCATCCCTGCATTCTGGACTTTCACTTAAGCAACAAAGCACAACCAGCAAGGAATCTGTGGTGGTTATAGAATAGTTGGACGGGTATTACAAAGCACAGCACTAAATGCATCTATAGCCCAACATCGTCCTGGAAAAGCACAGCCTGATTTTGGAGAGGGGAGCAGGAGGCCGAGATTGCAGCACCTTCCTGATGTTACCGGCCTCAGCACAGCTCAGCCGGAAATGCCAGATAATCCCAGCTCCTGAGGCCTTCCAGAGGCAGTCTTGGAGCTTATTTGTCCTAGAAAATGTACTCACCGTCAGGTTTTACCTTAGGGGGAAAAAAGGCAAAATGAACACCACAACAAAAAAACAAAACGCTAAAAAACCCAACACCACATACAGTCAGTTGGAGGATGGAGAAGCCAAGCCAGAGGGGAAAAGAACACACAAAGCAAGAGCTGAAAGTGAGGAAAACCACAGAATCAAAGTATTTATTTCAGCTGTCCACAGGCACAGTGATTGTATAAACAATGAACGACAGGAACACAAATGAACACTATGGGAAAAGAAACCCCCCACATTTTTTCATTGCAGTAAAGTACAGACCACCATGAACAGTTTGACTCAAATACCCAGTACCAGTTCCCACACGAGAGCTGTTATTGTTGGCTTCAACACCCAGATCCAACAAGAACAGTCAGAACATGCATTCTGCTAATGTTTGAATAACCCTTGCCAACAGATCGATCCCACAGCAGCAAGGCTTGGGAGATGGGTTTAAATAAATGAGAGAGAAAGTAAAGGGAAAAGACATATGGCACTCCTCTTTTAGCACAAGTGTTCAGTGGGAGCAGTTTTCATTTCCCTTAAAAATTGACCGTTTCTTTCCCCCCTCGTCCCCTTTAGGAAAGAAACAGCCCAAAAGGGCATTGGTGAGCATCCGTAACTTACATGCACGGGAGACACAACTGCCAGAGAAATACAGATTCCACAGATGTTGACCCAGAGGACAGCCCAAATTAAGCAAATCTCTAAATAAGGTGTGGGAGGCACTTTCTGAAGAAAAGCAGCATTTTTCCAAAGCAGGCTGTCAGCTTAACCCCAGTCCAGCAGACAACCGCCTACAGTTACCTGGTTATTCTACAGTAAATCCATCACTTCCATAGGTAAAAAGGAGGAAAAGTTTACTCAGCTATGGAACAATCTCTCGTGTCTTCTGTATTTGACTTCTGTTCTATCATAGATAGTATTCTGAAATATCAAAATGGGCCTGGCTTGCAAACCTGGGAAGCCAGCCCATTGATCCACAGATGGTTCCCTGTGGCTCCTGATCCACAGGCCAAAGGCCCATCCAAAGCTGAGCTAACGAGTTGTACCACTCTGAGGGCTCGAGCTCATATTCCTGCACAGCATCATACTGTATAACTGCTACCCCAGGACCAGCTTAGCTGCCTCCTGCACAGCAGAGCTGTAAGTTACACCTCCAAACCAGTTCCATTGTCACTTCTCAAACTGCCAAGGGAGCAAATCTGCAGAAGACATGAACAGAATTGTAATCTTTTTCCTCATCGACCATCTCTTCTCTAGGAAAGATAGCTTCCTTACCTTCCTTACCCAGAAAGGGGTCGAGGACAACCCTGACTTTTGACCATTCTTTCCAGATGCTTTCATTCTTTTCCTGCTCAAACACGTTTGTCTGTTTAGTACATTAACTCATCAGAGATATGCGCATGTGCACCACGCCACAAATGCAAAGGAAAGAGAGTGAATAATTAACAATACAGGAAATTTATAATTGTTTTAAGCTGCCATGTCCCAATATAGCCTATTTCCTGAAGAGATCTCATCCTTTCAACCTTTTCAGTCCTCTGCAGATTCTTAGTATTAAATGGGACTCTGTATCTTTAATTGCGATTTTCCATCCTGCAGAAGTAAACCTTTTCCATAGTACGGTCTCTTTTAAAGTTATAAATAAAACAGCCAACTATTTTCTTTTTCCCACAGATGAGAACATTAAAACATTGACATTTTAATCTGTTCTATACAAGAGTGAGTTGTGTCAGCACACTGCTTCCAGCTACAACAACAGAAAAACCAAAGTTTAATTGAAGACAGAGTGGAGAAGCTGCATTGTGGTGTCTGAACCACAAAGATGCACAGCACAGTTTCTTGCTCACTCACCATTTTGGGCTCAGTTTTAGCCTTTGGATAACTGTTTGGCAGACAAAAGAAGATTGAAAAGAAAGAGGAAGAAGGACAAGAAACAAATATATTTTCTCAGATAGATAGGAAATGCAAAAGGTGAGACCATGTACCACAGACTTAAAAGCATTAAAAATTTTACCTAAAAATACTAAAAGCACAGCACAAACAGCCCCATCACAAAGGCAAAACAGAAGCCAGTCATATCCATGTCAGCCTTGCCACTTCAGTGTTAGGGCTTGCACTGATACAGGCTTTAATGCTGTTAATTCTCATTTCCACTGACAAGTTCTTCTCCCCAGCAGGTTCCAGTGATGCACAGGGTTTGCATCAGGTGTTTTCTTAAAGGATCGTTCCACCAAAATCATTCTATGATCATATAACAGACCTGCTTCTTGCACCCCTGCTGCTACATGCAAAATAGGAGCAGGTAGACAATAAAAAAATTAATCTCCAGTAACAAATTATGCGAGACACTGCAGACTGGAAAAATACACCTTTAAGGCTCACATACCCGTGTGTGTTTAGGCTGCTGGTAGTTCCCAAATAAACAGCTATGGCAGCTTCAGAATTCTTCATGAGAACAACTTCTCACAGATGACAGCCTTAAGCAGCCCTTGGGAACTTATATTTCCAAGTCAGGAACCTAACTTTTATGTTCAAGTCTTAGAAGTAGTATAAAAATTAATGCAGGCTTGTTCTGTATCAGGCACTTCCCAGCAGTCATCAGGTGGATGAGGATTTCTCCTTCCAAACTGCAAATGCAGTCTACCTGCACTTTTTTGTTGCTCAATAGGAAAGCCACAGGCGCTGAGTCATTTATTACAGTTTCATTACATTACCCAAAGGTGTTGTGTTTTATTATTTAACAATGCAAATCACTGAATCAATTAGTGTTGGAAGGGACATCAAGATTTTCTGGTCTAATCTTCTGACAAGGCAGGGCTACCTACAGCAGGTTACACAGGAATGTGTCCATGGTGGGTTTGGAATGTGTCCCGAGGGAGACTCCAGGACCCTTGTGGGCAGCCTGTTCCAGTGCTCTTCCACCCTCAATGGAAAGAAGTTCTTTCTCATGTTGAGGTGAAACTTATGTTTTAGTTTATGGCCATTGTTCCTCATCCTGTCACTGGGCACCACTGAAAAGAGTGACACCATCCTCCGGGCACCTGCCTTTGAGATATTGATCTGCACTGATGGGATCCCCTCTCAGGCTGCTCTTCTCCAGGCCCAGCTCCTGCAATCTCTCCCCATAAGAGAGATGCGCCAGACCCCTCACCATCTTTGTGGACCTCAGCTGGACACTCTCCAGTAGCTCCTTGTCTTTCCTGTACTGAAGAACCCAGAATTGGACACAGGACTCCAGATGTGGCCTCACCAGAGTCGAGCAGAGGGGGAGGAACCACCTCCCTCAATCTACTGCCACACTCTTGATACACCCCAGGATATCATTGACCCTCCTAGCCACAAGGGCCAGCTCATGGTCAACTTATGACCATGGTCCTTCTCAGCTGAACTGCTCTCTAGTAGTTCAGCCCCAGCCTGTACTTGGGGTTCTTCCTCCCCAGATACAGGACCCTACATTTGTGCCTGTTGAACCTCGTTAGGTTTCTTTCCACCCAATTCAAAACTAAAAAAATGCTACAAACAGGAATATTAAAGGAGTAAGATAAAGTGTACTCTATACTAGAAGTGAGATTTACCATTTCTAATGAGTTAATTTTATTAACATTTCACATCCAAATTTCCTCTCCAAGTACCTAGAAGTCCTGGCAAAATGTCTTTTAAAAGGAAAAAATAATAATAATAAAAAAAAGTGCCAAACATACCAATTCACAACTTTGTCACTCACTGGGTGGAAAAGAATATTGCTAGTACTTGATCCTGCTCTCTCAACACTTCAGTTCCAAAGTCAAAGGACAAGAATATAGGCTAGTTGATATCCCTAAGGCAGGAGATAATTCAAACGGAATAAGAAGAATTGTGTAAATAGGAACAAAATGGAAAGTGGATATGAAACTGAAAAATATGTAAAAAAATAGAAGAAAAAGTGTAGTAAAACTGTTCTTTGCTGTTAAGGATCAGCATCTACTAACATCTGCAAAACTCCACACCAGTCTAGTTCCAGTTAAATGAAGTTTTGATTGTCCAGTCCAAACTTAAGCTGGAGCATGATGTGTATTACTCAAACTGTACTACAAGTCACAGGCAAGTTACAATCCATCTTCCAAAATTTGTAAGAAAAGGTTTTCATCTAGCAGGGAGGATAAACAATGATATAGATGAGGATGAAAAGGCAGGGAGGGAATTCACCTCAAACTTTTATGGGTAGGTATGCACAATTATTTCCTGATCCATCTTTCACACAGAAAAGGTATTTACAGATATGAGACAATATATTCACATTCTTGACCAGTTTCTCAATAAAAACCAAACCCAAACCACTCAACAACCCAGCTCTCATTAAGGCACATAAAGAATAGTGAGATTTTCAATTTAACCCAGTGTACTGGATGCATGTTCACCTTCAAGCTGCTTTGAAAATCTGGCCCAGTTACAGATTCCAAGCTTTTGAAAGTGCAGCCACATGTATGGCATAAATATCTGTTCCTGGGGAATCTCTACTGAGAGCATGGAAATTGGTTTATGCATCCGCTTTCCTCAGCAGATGGGCATGTTTCACTGTATTTCCATTTTCAAGCATATCTGTAATGTCTGCAAACTATGTAATTTTTCCTGTGCAGAAGCAGTGAACATGGTATCTGTGAATGCAAATGATAAAAGGAATTTCCAATGGTGCTCTCTCCATCTACTTCTCAAGGAGAAGAAAAAAAATCCTAAGAAAGTCAGTGAATCCAAGTAGAGACTTCAGAAGTCCTTTCAGACAATCAAAAGCAGGATTTTCCAGCCAGGCAGCTGTAGTTCATTAGATCTGCCATGGACCGTGAAAGCCACTTGCCAATAGTGTCGAAAGACTATTACTCATTTCAATCTCTCTGAAGAGGACAGCTCTCTGACAAAGCATTAGTGAAACACAGAGTTTGGGCTCTGACTGTAACAGCTAAGCATGCAGATGGAAGTTCAATACTTAACGCAGAGCTGAGTTGCAAAGGAAGATTGATGGCCATGCTTTTCACCTTCAGAGAGCTCCCATCTAGATTAAAAATGGAAAAGTATTTAGGAAATAAAAATAAGCTGGCCATATGGATGATAATCATACCATACATTCTGGTAGAAGCCTATTTCAGAACAGGAAGTTTTCTGCACCAATTTGAGTTTTTCTAATCTGCAGTTGACAGCAAAAGAAATAATCTGGGACCAGCCAAATCAGCAAAGAAGTTCTCACAACCCAGCAGTTAAGTTAATCAGAAATACTAAGGTGCTTCCCAAAATAAATACATAAGGCAAATGTAAGAAGGGAGTCCATAAAATACTAATTTGGTTCTTTTCATGAATGAAATTTCCACATAATAATAACAAATAAGTTTTTTTAACCAAAATAAATAACTGGATGGGCTTGGCCCACCTAAGCATTTGACCAGCAGACGTTACGTTGTGGGTACAACACCAGAACTCACACATGATGCCTTCCCCTCTAGCTGGTTGTAATAATCTAACCCGTTCTAGTAACTGTTCTCTTTCATGCAGTAGTAAGTCTTAGAAGTAATTCTAGTAGTAGATACTGCAAAGTAAAGTTTATCTTCTGCGCTAACTTGCCTCTTCACTTTTAATATCTCTACTAGTAGCCCTCAGCACATTTTCATAACAGACCCCTCTGCTCCAGGCAGTGACATGCGGTGGTTAGACATCCCATAGCAGTTACATCACTGCCGTGTGGTCAGACCACTGCTGTGGTCAGACATCACATAGCAATGAGAAGTTTCTCTTCTCACAGAAGAAAAACATGTCTAATGTTGAAGCCTTTACTGCCATATACCGCAACCTATAACTCTTCCAGTTGCCATTGCCAAGTACATCAGCTCTGGTGTCCTGTATGTAACAGTGACTGGGAAGACCTGTCAGAAATCCAGCAGATGATTTCCCCATTAGTGTCTGTTAATCAGACACACCCCCACACCCCCAAGCATCCAGATATTAATATAAAATCCCAAGCAGTGAAAAGGATTTAACAGAAAGCATTTTCTCTTCATCCCTGAGAATCAATAATCCACTTTATGCAGTTCACTTGGATTCTGTTTTTAAAACTGTTTTTACAAATTACCAACTGGAGAGACTAGTTTTGATTCCTAACATACACCTTCCTTTAGAGAAGAATGTTTGCAGAAAGTTGCAGAAAAGCATGAGAAGTATACAGCAAACATCACAAACTAATAAAATTTCATACTTAAATATTTTCTTAGTATTTCAGAGAAGTGGCAGATTATATTTTACAGGGGAGATCTACTGCAGCATAAGCAACGTGCTCACCGTAGAGTTTTCTGTAATGTTTTGCTCCAACTAAAACATGTTCTACAGAGAAGACTGGCAGCACAGCCACAGAGCCAGCATTTTCTCAGCCCAGGTAAGTGTTAATGGCCTCCTGCATGGCAAAGTATTTCAGGAAAAGCCTTCAAGAGTCTGATGTCATGTAAGCTCCATTAAATGACCCTATATACACTTTATTAAAAAGCCAAACTCTACAGTGCAGGAACAAGTAGCAAACAGAATGCTCTTATTGTATGACTGCATATAAAAGAATCCTTTCCAAAAGGGTACCAGAAAAAAAAGACATTCAATAGTGAAGTTTATGAGAGAAGGATAAAAACCAGGTAGTTGAACAGGTTCCTGAAATCCCAGTAGTGGTCAATAAATCGACTTCTGCTTCACATTATATGAAGAGGCTGTACTTAGCAAATCACTGTGTAAGCTGCCTCAATAACAGCACTCCTGCTATCAAGTTTACTTGCAATGATTCCAACAAAGAAATTAATTTCTTAGACGACAAGAAAAGGTTATCTAGAATGGGGAAAACACAGGAGACAAAAATTTCCACTAATAAAACAAATATCAGACTCTGAACTGAATTTGAAGCTTTCTTCCTCCAATAGATTTGAAACCCCTATAGCCCAAGCACTAAAGTTACCAAGAAAACATCCTACAAACTGCATTTCTCAAACTACAAGGGAAGCATAATGAACTAGAGCTTCTTTCGATAGGTGATTCACTGAAGCATCAGCATGCATACTAGTCCTCAGGCAAAGCCCATAACAGGAAAATACACCTTTACTGCAATCAAAGTTCTAGTCTTGAAAGAAAGCCTTACTCTGAGCTACTAGTTCATTTACTCCTTTTCAAAAACTGTAGTACAATATAAGAAAAACTCTGCAAGAGCTTTCCAGATTTCAGAATGTGCCCTTTTCACATGTATAAAGGTGTTTCTCCTGACTTCAGCAAGTTATAAAACACATACTGTCCTGGTCTCAGCAATTTTATTGATTTGTTTATTCCCAAGAGATATTCAACAGGTATCACTTACCCATCTTATTTCCCAGTCAAGTTATCAAATGTTTTAAATATTCCCACAAAGGGACACCATTTCACTCTATGACACCCTTTATTCCTCTTACTGTAATACACATCCTTCAGTTATTTTTCTCATTTTATTCTCCTCATATTTCTCTTATGCATATAAAGTAGCGAAATTATGTTTTATACATATGATAACACAGAAGTTTGATTTTTAAAGTCATTAGACAAAAAAGTGGATAACCTTCCTCTATTGCCCAAACAACTTCTCCCACCTGTCCTCTTAAAGCAGTATCAATCAGTCTAAGAACTATATGATATAGATACTGGTATCAAACAATTAGCCCTGATGCTAAGGTGGATTGATTACAATACTATACTTCTTATACTTGCACGATCAATTTCTATAGATTTAGTTTTAGCTGTCAGTTTGTTGAATTTCAAAATTTCACAGCTGCAAAGATTAACATCAAATTATTAATCAATTTTAAACCAAAGCAATGCAGGTCACCTAAAATAACAACCCAAAGGGGTTTAGACCTTCATCTTCTATCCCACCTTCATCTAGCCACAGATGCCAAAAACACTGACAAGGCCTGCAAGGTCAAAATCAACCATTTAATGCTGTTGATGTGGACTATTAAGCAGAGGACCTCTAGGAAACATCATACCGATAAAGGATTAATGTGAGCTGAAGTCCCACAGGAAGTCACATGACTCTGGAAGGACATTTATGAATTAAATGAGTAGCCTGAACTAGGTCAAATGGGAAAGAGTTAAAATCTAGGTTTCAATTTCCACAGTGATTAGAAGAAAAGAGCTTGTCTGAATTGCTGTTTGGACCATTAATGCTCATTTTAGTATCCTTTGGAAAACATGGAATATTTGAGAGGACAGAGAGAAACAGTAACAGTTTGGGCTTTTTTTTTCTAAATCTGGTGACTTGAGTAACTATAATATTGTCAGGCTGCAACAGATCTCAAATAGAATGGCCAAGACAAGACTCTAGCTAGAAAGAAATGGAGAGGGTAATATAATATTAATGACATGAATTTTCAGAAAACATTCTTGGACTAGCTTGACTTATAATTAAAAGTTTATTGCTAATTAATAACACAGATATAACATATCTGTGAGGCAGCTGACTTGATGCAAAATGACATTTGATTAAGGAACTCAAAATCAACATGACACTTCAAGTGGGCTAGAGACTGACAGGCCTCAAAATGTAATTGCAGATGAGGCTAAACACTAAATAAATGTTTCCAGCTTATAGCAATTAAATATCAACACAGAAGAGAATGGTTTCTTTTATCCCACCTTCAACAGCTTGACCCTATGTTATTCAGCAGTTTTGCCTATGTTCTGAAAAAAGGCACAGGATGATTACTGAACAAATTTACAGATTAGAGTAATAGAAAACAAGGATCAGTGATAGAAAGCCATTTAGTTTGCCTGGTAAAGAAGAGTCAAGCAAATATCATAGTTTTTAATATAGCTAAATATAAGAAAACCTGCCTAAGCCACACTTACTGGTTGGAAGCCTATCCTGAAAGCAGGTATTCTAAAAGGTCATTGTAGAAAAACATTTGAAGGGAGCTTCAGTGAGATACTGTGGGTAAACAAGACTATGGAGATAATTTTGCTTTCAAATTTCCTCCAAAGCTAAAATTACACAAGCAAAGCTTAGTCGGAAAACAGCAGACAACAGCTGGTGGCAGAAAGGGCCACATGGTGTACAGAAGGCGCAAGAAGACCTGGGACACTGGCATGGGCAATAATCAAGCGCAGGAGCCCGATGGGCCCTATGCCCACTGTGCCTCTTCAACGGACAAGCAAATATACGGGTGATGCTGACTGTGTGACATTCTAATTTCCTCTAGTTTTCCCCAGAGCATCTGGATTCAAATTCAAACCTCAGGAGAAAAACCGAACCAAAACACATGGCAGGAAAAACACACTTAAAGAATATGCTATCTGTGGAGGTTGGGGACTGACCTAAACCATGAAGGGAAAGAATATGGAATGACCCAGCTAAAGGCCTGAGTGTGCAGCTTCTCCTGAAGGAGACAGGACTTTGGAAAATAAGCATATAATCATCTAAAGCTACTGCCAGTAGCGCATGCAGCGTATTTCCCTTTTTAAACACAAAGACCATGAAAGCACGAATTGCTTCAGTCTTGGCTCAAAATGAGAAAACAAGCTGGAACCACTGGTGAAAAACACCATCTTGCAGGATACAATAAATAAAAAAGAACTCTCCTTGTGTCATTTCATACATTTCAAGTTCCCTTTTGCACCTCAGAGTAAGTGTCTCAAGTTACCATGCGCCTACCACATTCAAATTCTCTGTCATGTGTCAGCCTTTGCTTGTGCTGGTATGAACCTTATTCCCATACCATTATAACAAAACTCAAGAGTTAGGAACTTTGAAATTGCTTGACACCAGCTTTGTCAAGTTACAGCTAAAATTCAATATAAACTCACACAGTTAAGAAATCAAACAGCACCCACCCCCCCCCCCCCCAGAAAGCTACCAAAAGGTTAACTGAAACAGAGGTAAGAAAAGTATTTTGGCTTTTCATGCCTTCCTTAAAGGTTGAATTGGACAAAACTCATGCATCTGAAAGACACTTAGGAAGCAGTTATGATAGTATACATCTTAACTCTAATCACAGTTTTCTAAGTAACATCCTCACATGCCAATTACACATACTCAGGCTCTCTTGCTTCTTCCTTTTGTGCCTTGCCTTTGCAGATAGTGCAGAGTATTAGTATTTCTTTTTCCTGAAAGAAATTTCATATCTTGAAAAGGTGTGTATAGGATGAACTACTTATATGTGGTACAACTGAAAATTTTTCTTTCTTCAGCAGTAAAATTTCAGTGCTAAATTTCATGTTTTTTCATCTGAGGTACAGAAATACCACTATGTGCTATGATCTTACTCACCTGTTACAAAACCAACTTAGTAAGCACTCTTAGAACCCACCCAGCTGATGACAATCCCATTACAAGACGTGAAGCATATTAGATGCATCAAGAACATCCACTTACTTGCTTTCATCATAAATCTATAGACAGAAGAGGAAAAAAAAAAAACCAACGTAGAAAATCTTGCCTAGGATCGCTGTATATCAAAACCCATCCCACCATGCTCTTTCTGCTAATCCCTCCATCTTCATACAAAAACTCACGGAACATATAAAATGCATAAGGACATGTAAGGAGCATGACAAAGCTGAGGAGTGACAGACCTGCCTCCTATTTCCCAAGCCAGGGCTGTCCACTTGTGTTCAAAGCAGTCTCTAGACCTGATGGAGCCTGTTACAAATTCTGAGCAGGGGGCAGAGACGTGGCCTCCATCAGCGTGCACCCAGAAATGGGATTCCTCACGTCCCCTTCTCTCAGCAGCTGCTGGCAACAGTCACGGCAGAACTGTTAAACAGTTCAGCTGTAATTCTAGAACACTGAAGCCAGGTACAACACCACTTCAGCAGCTGTGATTAAACAATAGTCCTGATACAAGATCTTTTAATAACACTAAAGTGAAATTTCTGCTACAAGAACCACTATGAGAACAGGACCACCTAGACATCTCCAGAACAAGTTTCCCTCAACAAAGCCCACCTGTCCAAGGGCCAGGATCCAACTACAATGAAGAAATTTGTGCTTTTCCTATCCACCACCTGCCTCCCTCCAACATCAATATACAAAGTCCAAAGGGACACTGAAACAAAGCTAGAGGGACAGAGAGGAATCAATGGCAAAACAAAACCAAATAGCTTTCAAATGATTTTGGACTCTAGAAATGAGGTGTTCTTATTTTTAGACTGCATACAAGTAGCTCAAGGTGCTTTTTCTTTCGTCCCCATGACAGTAGTTAAGTGAATACACCTGCCTCACTTCGCTCCCTTCTGATGGTAAACAGGTCTTGCATTTAAGTTACAACATGGAATACTTCAGAGCAGCCGTGTGCCAAAATAGCACATTTCTGAGGGATGCAAAGGTATTCAATAAAAAGCTTTTAAAGGCATATTTTTAAACTTGCAGCAGGAAAGCTTTTCTGTGTCAAGACAGTAATTCTTTTAACAGCATTGATCAAAATGTCATTCTTTTATGAGCGTACAATACCTTTTAATGGCATACAACAAGCCATTAGGGTTATACACCTCCGTACAGCAGACAGCTTACTGGAAAATCGGGAACACTGGCCAAGATACAGTCACTAGTTTTTATGCTTCTAATAAGGCAGTTTCTTCCATTTTTTCCAGCTCTGCTTCACCCTAATACCATGAGTGAAGTGATCCAGAAATTAAGCCGAAGTATTCATCACTTCCACCAGAGTTATTTTCACTGTAACCCACATATTTTCCCCAAGAAATACCTCTTACAAACACGATGAATATTCTGGCTTTGTAAAGTGGGATTCTACCACCAAGGTCAGATCTGCTTTGTTTTCCTCACCAGTGGCCATACTTACCCCCAGATTGTCACTGACTGATGAATCAGAGGTGGCTGAACTGCACATACTGGTTTTGATTTTCAGAAACATGAAAAAAAAACACCTGTCCTTTCATAACACTCTAAGGCATGGGACAGAATCTGTCTACAAATCATCCAGTTCTTTTCAAGTGCTCCAACCCTTCAAAAAGAGTGAGGGCACTGGTGACTGCATTTGCTCTGCTTGAATGGAAGGCGAGCGTGGATTCCCTGGATGCATTAAGCAGCACTTTATAGCTTTATTTTAGTTATAAATACCCACAGGAAAGCCAATGATTTCTGTCAACCCACCTTCAAGGGTTTTCACTTTAAGGGTAAGAGAATATTTATGGGATTTAATCATCAATGTTAACTGAGCAGTGGTACCAGAAAAAGAGCTTTATTTCACTCTCTGAAATGCTTATGGATAATATCAAGATCTTCTCAGCTACTTTTGAAAGTATACCTAAGCCACTAGTATCAGCAAACGACAAAACAGTTCCTGATTCAAATATAAGGTGAAATTGTAAATCAAAGAAAGGAAAACTGAATAGAAAGAGAAGACAGAAAAATTCTGAGGCTCCAAAACCAAAAGATGAAGTCAATTACAATTAAGAAAATTTTAAGGGAGTACTTGTCTCTTACCTGCTCACTTCTGTAACTCAAAAGCAGCTGTTGCCCCTATGACTTCCACATTTCCAATAGATGCTGTATGTCTCTTGGGTCACAGCAGTCACATAGTCACATCTAGAATTTGAAAATCAAAGTTATTATTTTTTTTCCTTTTACACAATTTAACCATACATAAACTCAATCAAAACCATTTATGCTGGAGAATATGCCATTGTCTCAGACAGAATACCACAAAGCCAACTGTGTTTATATCTGCCCTGCATTCATTATTAAACATACAGTCAGTACAAAGGTCTCGCCAGAGAATTACCAGGTCACCCACAAAGAGCAAGACTTTGGTAGATAGTTCAAACTATAATTCAGACCAAAATCTAGTCAGAATGAGACGTGACCCAAACACACCTATTGTGAACCTAGTTGTGCTGTGTTCAAATGAGGAACAAGAGCCAAGCTGGAAGCACGCTCCCAGGTGACACCTGGAAGAGGATAAGGACTACCGATCTATGACACAGGGGCTCTGGCAATTCAGTGACTGCCATGGAAGAAGTTGACAGTAAACAGCACTGGAGTGCAGGTAACAGCCTCTGCCCACTGTGGAGGCTTGGACTCCTCTCAGTGTACTTAACAAGCCTGTCTGATAATTCACTTCAGTTCTCACCTAGATTTAAGCCACACAACTTAAAGACTGGAATGTTTTCTTGAAGGCAATATAAAAGGAATATAAATGCTTTCTGAAGCAAGCTACACAAATTTCACAGTTTAATAGGGATTGATTTCTCATTATTACATACCAGAGTTCAGAGTTGCTCCTTCATGGTTGTTGCAATCAAAAAAGTACATGTTAGGGTTTTTTTAAATAAACAGATGATTTACTAGGTTACCTGATGCATGTACAAAAAAAAAAAAAAATTTTTTTTCATAATAGCAACTGATCTGTGGACCCACACTAAATCCTGTGCAATGAACACTGTTGCAGCACAGGAGAGCCTGGGACCAGAAGCTGTGTCTGACCTGGCATGCAGGGTTTCAGGATAGAACACATTCTTTGTTCTTGAACACAGGCATTTCTAAAACACAATTGCATCACTGCTTCCATTTAGAAACAAAACCGTTCAACAGCACCCTGATCTACCCAATGCTAAAGATACACATCTTTCTTCTCCTTTCAGTTCTGTTCAACAAACCAGTGGGGCTAGGAGCACTTCAGGGACACAACAAATGTGGCTAAGAGTGAACTGTGCATTTAGTTTCCCGAGTAGTAAGTGCAATTTTTATCAAGAGCTTGATTAAGTAAAAGCAACTCCCTACCTCTAATGTCTCTACTGTGATGTAAACATAAACTAAAGGTCGTGAATTAAGGAGGTCAAATAGGATCAACATAAACAGGAACCCATCTAATTTCTCACTTCAGCTTTTAGCACCTTGGTGTTTCAGCTTAAATCTCTGTTCCTGAGGGCTTTTAATAATAGGTCGGGCATACATTTTCTTTGAAAATACATAGATACATTTGATCCTCCGCATCTATTTCGCCGGAAGAAACAGACCAAACCGTAGTTCCCATTATCTCTGCAGCGCAGCTACCTGGCCAAAGAGCTTCGCACCCAGTTGCTAAAACCACTCTTGCCTACGAACAGCTCGGGAAGCTTCCTGGGTAGATGGAAGCCTCCCGAGCATTAACCTCCCACACAGCTTGTCAAGTGCTATGTTTTTACAGGTGCCTGGCAGCACAGAGGTTTCCTTCGCCTGCCGAGGTGGGCGCAGCGCCATCACCTTCCCTATGACGGCCACACAGAACCCTGAAGGAACAGCGCGGCCGGCACCGGGCAGGGTGGAGCAGAGCTCGTCAGTGCAGCACGAATCCGAGCGGGGAGCTCTGCCTTCCTCCTGCCTGCCCTGAGGAGGGGAACCCGAGAGGGCAGGTTAGAGCGGTAGCTCGTCTGCCCGCCCTTACCTAGGCTGCACGAGTGCTGAGCGGAGGGTAGGGTAGGGCAGGGGAAGGGGGAAGGACGAGCAGCTCCCGCTCTCGAAAGAACTCCATGAGCCTTCCTCCCGCCCCGCATTATATTGACCGAACCCCCGTCCAATCCTGAGGCTGGAGAGACAAGAGCGCACCCCCGGGGCCCCAGCTGGCCAATCAACACTCGCCAAAGGCGGGGACGGTCTTCCCGCCTCGGGAGGCCTCATGAGCCCTCTGGGCCCCAAGGCATTGATTAACGTAAGCGTTGCCCAACAGAAACTCAGCCTTCCTCCCTTGCTTGTCGATGATTGGACAGCAGAGGAAAGGAGGCGGGGCTTCCAGCCAAGCTCGCTGGAGGCGGGCGAGCGTCTTGTTGCCATGGGGACGGGCGCCATTGCCCTCCGCGGTCTGACGGCCGCGGTTCCGCAGCGAGCGGGCGGACGCTCCTGGCCCGCACCTAACCGAACCGCCTCGCATCGGAGCTGCACACGGGCCAGAGCTCCCAGGCAGCACCTGATTGACGTCTGTGGCAAGCAGCTGGAGGAAGTACTGCTGCCTCTAGGCCATACACTAACTCTAGGGAGGGGAAAGCATCCAAAACGCAGGAGAAGCCGAGGCTAGTTGGCTCTCCCAGTACCAACAGCAGCCAGCTTCAGACCTTCGTTCATGTTCGCAGAGAAAATCCAATTGCTGAAGGCAGAAGTTAAAAAATTACAGAGAAATGCTAAATCACAGGAGGCAAGGAACTGCCAGGCTGTCCCAGCACTGCTGACGGTGAAACAGGGAATGAATCAGGTTGCCTGAAATCCTGAAGGCATAAATAGTGACACTGGAGCTGCAGTTCTTTCCAGGCATAGCTGCTTGTCAGCAGGATGGAGTGTTGCTGCTCTAGGGGACTGCTCACAGGTCTGGGAAACTGAGCCAAAAGCACCGGGCTGTGATCTTGGTAAAGAGAAATAGCAATGGAAGTTTACTTTTCCTTCTTTTGAACTGATCTGTGACTGCAAAGCACGAGAATGCTTGGAACTTTGTCTTCTGCTTGAAGAGGAATGAAGCAAAATATTTTTGTAATAAAAATTTAGTACCATTTTTTGACTTTGTAATCAATGCAGCTTTATAAGCCATGCACGCATGCATAGTAATCCTTCACTAATCCTATTGGCCTCGGGCATACAAGATGCAATGAAATAATGAGGCAGTTTCTACTACAGAAGATAGCTCATCATAAGGCCAAACAAAAGTTCAGTGGACCATCACATGAAAAATAGAAAGGAGCTCAAATGTAAAACGTTCCTGTGTCCAAGTATATTGATCAAATACAAGGTGACATGAATGGGGTAACATTATGGTATGGTATTGGGAATGGAGGTCCACTCCCCATTCTTCTTTCAGAATAGGATGTTATTTTAATGTGTGAAATGCAGTGAAACAGCAAGAAAGCAAGAAGAGTACTGTGGGGATTAGACACAATTATGGCCAATGCTGGGCACTGATCATTACAATCATATTTCATAATAATTTCCACTACAACTCTTTCCCCCATTGTTCGTAACTTTCAGTTTCCTAACCAAAAACTTTCCTACCTTGAAAAATATTTAGACCTTTTTCTTCCTGATATTTTTTCAGCTGAAATGTGCAAGGGTCAAAGATCTGAAATGAGGCAGATTGGCTACTCACCTGAAGAGCAAAACACGCCTGTATGTAATTTGGCTGTGATTTGCTGTTCATGAGTGTATGAAATTCAGACTGTCTCTACTAAGCTGATTAAGGGAGTCAGGGACATCTGCTTCTAGCTGATGTAGCTAATGCCTTGGCCAAGGAAGATCGTTTTCTTTCTCCTTCAAGGACACAGTAATTCAACCAAGTCTGCAGAAATGCACCATGGGTGTGCCCTCTTCTGTTGTGCCCGATGTCAAACCAGAGTCTGATGTGTCCAAGCAAGGGTGTAAGGAAGCCCGCCAGAGGCCAACTCCTGGTTTATTTTATTGTGAGTAATAGACTAAGACCCATCATAGGTTGGACTCAAGCCAGGCCTGGAGCTGAAATTGCTTCTTAGTAAGTGATTTTCTCCAGTCAATGAATTGAGAGAAGACTTCCATTCTCATCCTCCTAGAGCTACAGTCTTGGCAATGTTAATAAAATAGACCCTGACCACGGAGAAGTGGCAGGATGCCAGGACAATGCATCAAAACTCTCCTTGCTGGAGAGAGCCATCCAACAGGTTGTCAGTGGGAGCTGCACCTCAGACAGTCACCCTTCTGGAGGAGCCTGTGATAACCGCAGTGAGCCTGCGAGCCCGTGACACATCTCCATGTGCTGGCAAGAGCCAGACACACGATGCTGGCTGTTTTCCCTGAAGGGCACGACTCCACTGCCATACCGTTCTCTCACTGAGGCATAAAAAGCTTGAAGGTGTGGAGACTAACAAATCTGACCTCAAGCAGGGCAGAAGAGGTGCTGACAGGCAATGAAAAGCATACCAAGCCCCATCATCAGCACTGTCTGTCCAGGTTAGAGGCAGGACCCACTTTGGACACTCCCAGGACTGTACCCAAGGTGTATGATGTGAATGCTTCTTAGGCCTGAGCTCTCAAACAGCTCCTCTTGCTCCTAGTGCTGAAGGAGACACATGTATTACAACATGATCGAGTCCAGCTAGAAGGCTCAGCAGCCACCATGGCACCTCTGGCCATGGTGGTCACCTCTGGTGAGGTGACAACAGGGACCTTACTGTGAGCACTGGAGGGGTAGCAGAGAAAATCCTGGCAGCTGCCATGCTGCCTACCAGGCCCATTCCTCCCTGCACACACTGCATATGCCTTCTCTCGCCACTACGGGTGCAAGATGTACAAACCGACACGGTATGGTTCTCGCATGGTGGGTCCATAGCAGGGACTGTACTTGCCTTGCACAGTGTCAGAAGAGCTGGCTACACGCTGGCAGAGACAAGTGAGCATTCGACTCATTCGCACAGGACAGACAGAGCTTAAGCCAGCTCAGGATGGACCATGCTTTGAGCACCTCTCCCCCAGCCCCATCTGTAGTGCTCCAGAATCTTAATGTTTTTCATTTTGAACAGATTTCCCTCAAATTCCATTAGAAAACAATCCATTACAAAAACATGAGGGTTGCAGTTACACTCAAGATGAGAAATACTATGAAGTCAAGACTGTTACACACAGCCCTTAACTCTGCCCCTTGCATGTCAGCATCATTACAACACAAGCTATTCCTCAGCTCATACAATAGTTTGTAGTCTTTTCAATTTTTCCTATAACCTTATTCATATGACACCTCGTAGCACTCTCTACCATGCAATGTAGGCCAGACAAAGAGTCCATTAAAGTAACTTATGTGAAAAATATGCAGTAAATCACAATTAGACAATATACAACTGGTGAAGTAAAAGAACAGAATAATAGCGAGGATGGGGTACTGCGTTCAGGAACCTAGAATTAGACTACCACGTTAACTACTTTAATGCCAACACCACCAACCCTTTTGTTTTAGTGGTGCCACTCTCTGAGAGTAAAAAAATGAAGGGGAAAAAAATAAAAATAGTAAAAGAAACCAACAAACCCCTTACTAACAGAAATGCTTTGTTTCTGACAATATACTATTTGTATAATGCATTATACTTGTTCCTGGTGTGACTTGCGGTGGCATGTTCTGGTGGCATGTAGGCCCCCTGTCATGGGTCAGGCTTCCACTGAGTTGTGGGGGTGCCAATATGCTAAGAAATGCTGCACAGGGCAGGGAACTGTCATACTTGCAAGCAAGTGGGCTGCCAGGAGTGAAGCAGGGCTAACACAAAGGAAGGAATAGCCGCTATGGCTGTAAGACCCCACGAAGATGGTGTGAATTCAGAGCATGTGTTTATAATGACTTTTAAAAGTCTCCAGTGTTTTCTTAAGAATATATTGATTGTACAGCTAAAGTGATCCTCTGGCTTGATCAGGCAGTGAGGCACTGGAATGGGTTGCCCAGGGAGGTTGTCAATGCTCCATCCCTGGCAGTGTTCAAGGCCAGGTTGGATGAAGCCTTCGTGAGATGGTTTAGTGTGAGGTGTCCCTGCCCATGGCAGGGGGGTTGGAACTAGATGATCTTAAGGTCATTTCTAACCCTAACTGTTCTATGATCAGCCAGTGGCTGCTTTGTGTGAGCTGAGGCAGGGTACTCACATGAACCGCCTGAACTGCACTGAACTGCCTATTTAAAACTCAAGTGCTCATGCTGATGCTGTGCTTTTAGTGCCACTGGGACACTGCAAAGCTGGATATGCGTGTGTTCAGGACGGGCAGCCCTGTGCACACACTGCCCTGAAGAGCAAGGTCCCAGACCTATGCCAGACCCATGCGAGTCTGATTACACCTCAGGGCCAAAGCGTGGCATTCTCATCATTTCTGGTATAGCTCAGCATCCTCAAACGCCCATCTCTGGACCTCAGCTTGATTGGCTTTGGTCCCCAGCAATCACATCTCTGCACTGCAGGTTCAGTGGCTTCTTTCTCAGCCAGCAGTTTCACTCCAAGGTACTCAGAGCACCAGTGGGGATGGGGAAGCACTCCAGCTACAGCCAGTGTAATACACAGCCATCCCCTGGCCATGGACAGGGCTGCAGGGCCCTCATGCAAGCACGGGGAGGGCACCTCTGGTAACTTCCAAACTGAATCGTATGCCACTGCTCCATCCTGCTTCACTCTGTCTCACAGGTCCACTTCTACCATGCTACATACAGTGAACTAGCTCATTTTTATTTTGAAGTACTCCACACCATTTTCTTCTTCTAGTCACTTACCTGTTTGTCCTCAGCTGGGCTCTCAGCTTTCCTGAGCACTCAAAAAGCCCCTAGAACATTGCAGGCACCTTTGTAAGGGATGGAGAAATGCTGCTGCCTTCCCCAGCTGGTTCATACATCATCACTACAGCTCCTCCACCAAGATCTAGTCTGACAGCACCAAACCCATCATACAGGGTCATCTGTGATATCAGAGCTAGCCACAATTACAGGTGGGTGCTTGGGGGCAGATCTCAACTTATGTAAATCAGAGCAACTCCACCCCCTGCATTTGGAGTGAGATTGAAAATTGTAATGTCAGCTACTAAAATATTAAAATTCTGCTTCCTGGAGAGCAGTGGCATGTAGAAGAAAGTTTGCTGTGATTCTCATAAGGTGTGAGGCAGTAACTAATTACTACAGAAGATGAAATACAGCCCTGTGATTTCCTGGGATATCTGCTAAACCTCAGGAGAGTTTGTATATGTCTCAGAACCTCCTTTACTAAGAAAAGATAAACAGAATGAAAGACAGCAATGAAGCAAGCAGCAGCTCTGAATAGTAACTGGTCTCAGAGTTAATCCAGAACCTGGTAAATAAAGCTGCAGACAGTTAATAAATTGGATGAATAAGGCCTAGAAATAATATTTTACAGTAGGATTAGTTCATCTAGAGGGTACCTGGTGAACTCATAGGAAGTGTGGGGAGAAAGGCAAAGAAGACACTAAATTACCTTCAAATTATTTCTGCAGATCCTATTACAGGAGAGAAAGGAGAAATGGCTGCAGAACAAATCATACGAATTCCTGTATCCAGCAGTCCAACAGTCCCTTACAAAACAAGAGAGAGAAAGCGCATGTGTGTGGTGGAAGCAATAAAAAGCACATTTGTCCCCCATTCATCACCATGTCATCTTTGGGTGCGTGCAGCTATTGCTTAGCAGGGCTGGGGGTAGGTGGGAAGGAACACAGCCCCCAACTCTGGAGCATCTGCCCTGGTTCTCTCTGCTGGGCCCTTGTAAAGCGCCCTCAGCCCTGCTGCTCCCCCAGGCCCTGTGGGGCACAGGACAAAGCTTGGCCGGCACAGCGTGAGGGAACAGGCATGACCCAAGGCTGCTCTCACATGGTGTCTCTGATCTGGGATCCAGGCACCACGACTACCCTGTCTGGGCACAAAAAATTACAAGTCCCAGGCTGTAGCATCTCCTAATTGTCTCCTCTCACTGAGCTGCCATTGCAGAGGGCAGCTCAGGTAAACGCATGCTGGCAGCAGAAGTCAGGCAACAAACTAACACAGGTATCAGAGAAGAGGAGGAAGGAAAGGGTTCACAGGAAGTCCTCAGAACTAATTGCTTCAGCAAATGGAGGGGAATTCGGAGACTGTCTTCCCTTTTCTCCTCACTGACACTCTGACTGGCAGGGCCTAGCACCGCGCCATGGCAGAGCAGCAGGCACAGCCTGCCTGGAGTGGGGATGGACATGACGTGCAACTAATTGCATGTTACCCTGGGTTGAGGGTGTTTAAAGGCTGAATGTGTTCTCAGGAGTCAGTAGTTGTTACCTGGGTGTAGGCACAGGAGTGAGCACTCCTGGATTTGCATCCAGCCTGATTCAACAGCTCTGAGCGCCAGGACTGGCCTATAATTACAGCCAGAGTGTTAGCCCCAAAGTATGAAAGATGACAGTCCACATACCTAAACTGTTAGCATTAGCACTGCTACTCTCATACAGAACCATGCAATTACTGCATTTTAATCCTGGAATATCAGACATGAAGACTCAGGTACCGTGGATCCAGAGCTGCCTGTATCAGCCACCAGTCCCTCTGCTGCCTGCAGGACACTGCTGTGGCCCTGAGCATGGGGTGCAAAGCGATTGCAATAACCTCCAGAAAAAGGAAAGGCTCTGTTGCACCATTTCCCTGCATTTCCAGTCAAGAACTGTGCATACTTTCAGATGCTGCTGGGGCCTCACGGTATATTTTTTTTATGAGAGTAATTTACAGCACCTGGGAATTTTACTCTTTCTCAATGCCATGTCCTGCTTCACGGGACATTGATGCTCCTGCATCGTTCCTACTGTGATCTCCTAAGTCTTCAGCAGTTTAACTGTATGTCCAGTGCAATGGACAAAGTGATCCACCTTCACGGGCATCTCACACACACTCCCATGCTCAGACCATTGCCTTTGGAAAATAATTACAGCACGGAAGCCGATTCTGTTAGATTAAGACAAATTAAGAATCTAATATATAGGTTTGCTGTCAGGTTCTCAGGGTCAGGGGTCGATACAGTATATTGCAATGAGGCTATAGGTTACCCTGCCCCAATATTTTATCATAATAAACCAAATGGGGACGAAACACCCAGCAGTAGCCCATAAATCTATTAGCAGTGAACTGTCAATGTCCCATATACCAGGGTAATTTGTTAATTCAGAGCTGGGTCTCTTTTTTCACTAGACCTTGTAAACTCCTTTCTGAAACATCAATAAACCATCTGCTTTGACTTGTTAATCAAACGACTTTATTCAGTCCAAAGCAATTTTTTCCTAATAAAAACAGAGTATTTATCTCCATGGCTATAAAAGAGGATTGTTTTCAACTGTTCACTTACAGTTAAGAAGCACATTTAGTTTGGATTGATTTCCAATGCTTCGGTCATATCTTGTCACTTCCCATTTCTTACACACAGCATCTCAGTTTAGCTCCTTAGCAGGGGAAGCACAACCTGACCCAGTGCTGGAAGCGGCAGTGGGGAAGATGCTGCCAACAGCAAAAAAGGTCATGCAAGTGAAACTTCACAGAGCTAACCCCGTCCCCTCTGGCTCCCAGGCCGCTCCCAGGCTCTGCGCAGCCCTTCCTGCAGCCGCAGCCGAGGGTCTGCCCCTGGGCAGTGACCTCCCAGCCAGCCCAGGGTGCGACCTGCGACAGCCTCGCCGGCTGCCCTTCCTCCCTGCTGCAGGTGCTGCCAACGCTCCCCCAGCACAACCGAGGCACGACCCCTTCCACCCGCAACCGCCTGCAGCAGCCAGCGGAGAGCGGTGCTGGGCAGGGCAGGACCGCGGCTGTGGAGGGCTTCCGCTGCCCTCCGCCCTGCAGCAGCTCCATGGTGGCATTGCCGCCCTTCTCTCCCACCCTCAAAAGCACAGGAGTGGGGTAAGGGAAATCCATTAGGACGCTGTTTCTGGAGCATGCAATTCCCTGGTGCAGCACAGAGGGGGAGATGGCGGGCAGAGGACCTGGGGGATGCATTAGAGAAGGAAAGCGTGTTTTCAGTCTGTCTGGTTGTTTTCTTTTCTCCGTCGGTATGTCACATCTGCACCAGGAGTTGTTGAGTTCAAGCAGCCCTCCAGCACCCCACAGCACAGCCAGAGAAGCTCACATAGTGAAACAGGGCGCAGTGCGGGCCAGCCCCAAGCCCTTCCCCTGCAGCAGGACAGTGAAGACTGAAGACCCTGGCCACCAGTGTGGCATGGGCAGCCTCTGCTGTGCCCGCAGGACCTGGGGAGACATTTGCAGCACCCCTTGTGTCCACCTTAGCTTAAGTGTTTCAGAGGCTGGTGGCCGTGACACACAGGCTGTGGCTGGGATCCTCCCAGGGCATCCCATGTGTCACATTGGGGCTGGGACAGGCAGGATGGGCATCCTTGCGTCCTGTTGTGTCCTCACAGCATTGCAGGCCATGGGCTACCGGGGGCTGTGCTGGGGACACGGCTGTTCCATGGAGATGCTAATCACTCGGGTGTGTTGTGGAGGTTTGTCTCCAGATCACCACGCACGTCAGGCTGGGACACAGCGCCCATCCGTGCAGAGACACTGCCCATGCAGAGCCGCATGTAGTCCTGTAGCATTGCTGGCATGAACCCAGCTCTTCCCCTTGCTGGCTTCGAGGAAACCTGTTCCCCGACCCAGTCTGATCCTAACCAGATCCTGTCCTTGTCAAGCACCTTCCCCTGCAGACTGAGGAATCGCAGATATTCTGCCTGAAGCTTCCCTAATGAATGTCTCTTACTAAACATAAAAGGTGGTTTCTCCGAGCAGGAGATCAGAGCATCAGCTCCCTGGCTGGGTGTAAGCCCGATCACCTGGCACGCACTGCACCGATGTCTGTGGGACCTCAAGGCATCTTGCCTCCTGCTGGCCATGTGTCCTCTCAGCGTGGTGGTGCTGCACCAACACTTGGCTTAGGCAGCTCCCTCTGACCTACTAAGGGACATCCAGCCAGTGACACTTGCCACAAAGCAGCCTGGGCTGCCAAATGCACTGGTAAGGGACATGTCACCAAACACCTGAGGGTGTCCCTGTGGTGACAGGGCCATCACGGTCTGATGAAGGCTCAGCCGCTGGCACAGGCCTCCTGCATCCCTAGTTAACCCAGGGACCATGGAGGCCACAGTTCCTGCAGCGCTGTGTGGCCCAACACTGGCACCCAGGGACCTGCCGTTGTCCAGCACCAGCACCCAGGCACCCACAGCTGTGCAGGTGGGGCAGGAGGGTACAGCCCTGCACCTCTTTGTTCCCCATTTGCGCATGGCACCAGAGGAAAGAGAAGGCAGATCCTTGTCCTCATGCTGAGGCACCAGGGAGGGCTGCAGCTGCTGATGGGTCCATGCCCTCCATCCCCGTGGCACTGCTCAGCCCTGGCAGGATGTGTCCCGTACCTGGCAGTCCTGGTGTGGCCACGGGACCTGTGCTGGGCAAGCTTGGCTCTCTCCACATTGCGACTACAGCGGCTGTGCCCCAGACCCAGCTCTCCCCAGGATGTGCAAATCAGGCGCCCCCAACCCTGTCCAGAGCACCCCGTGGGGGGGAACAGGCAGAGAAACAAAGTCATTTATATAATGTGTCTCCCTGCTGAGCCCCTAATGGCTGCCGCTTTTGTTCTGCAGTGGCTGGCTGGCTGTGATGGGCAGGAAGCCGCAGTCTCCCTTTGTTCCATGGCCTTATTCAGCAATTTAGATCCATCATAAAAATCAAATATGCATGTTGCAATCGCCTTGCGTACAACAGCTTCAATTTTCGCCTTTCTTTAATTGAACTCCATGGGAGAAAGAGGCAGGGCCAGGGAGCAAGGGGCAGCAAGAGAAGCGCTTTGTGTTTTTGTTCAGCGGGCTGTGAAAATAGGGAGTAATGAAAATACAGAATTTTTATCTTTGCCTCATTATTAAAAAAAAAAAAAGACAGAGATCTTTAATAAAGCCTTCCTCATAGAGGAGCCTGTGCAGGGAGAAGCCTTCATGTGCCCCCATCCTGGGCACAACAGGCTCAGCAGGGCTAGGCTTGAGGGATGGCATGAGGCTGTGGCACTGTGGCAGGGGCTGGTGACAAAGCTGGCAGCTGCCTGCTGCTGCGATGCACGTGGCTGAGTTGACGCACCATGGCCCTCTGCTCGCAGGCACGTGTTATCCTTCTAGGATGCCAAGGTATTCTGTTGCTGGAAGCAAACATGTCCTTACAAATTTTGCCAGCACCTCCCTGCGCTCCTTCCCCAAGACCTTGTTCTTGGTGCCGTTGGAAAGCAGGAGCCCAAAGAAGCAGAGCTGGCCAGGGAGGCAGCCAGCACAGGAGAGGGATGTGCAGGTCCCCAGCAAGGCTGGGCTGTGATGGTTGTGCCATCCAGCCGTGTGCATGGCCATGCTCCTGCACTGCAGGGACAGTGCTCCTGGCCAGCACAGCAGGTCTGGAACCTGCTGCTATGGAGCTGTCCCTGGGACACTGCAGCGGGAGGTGGCGAGAGGCAACAAGATGCACACAGCCACCGCCTTCGCTGCTACCATCGAGGGTGCAGAGAAAACACTCACCCCCACCTTGGAGGTGTGCTGGGGGCCGGTGCTTCTGTGCACAGTGCTGTTGAGGGCACTGGATCCATGGTACATTTCCTGGCTGCTTGGCCCCATTTGC